TCTGTCAAGTTTCAGATTCCTCCAAATGCGAAAGTGGTGTGCTGCAAGCTTGTGATACCGCTCCCTCCACAACCCGAGTGGATGGGTTAAACAGCGTGTGGGGAGAAGCTTCCTGCTAGCATGCAACGCTACATCCAATCAAATCTATCATCATTAAAGGGAAATAAGCAGTTCCTCATTAAGGAGAGTACATGTTTTACTCAAAGGCTTTCCAGCTTCACAAAAAAATGTGCAATCTTCTGTTGCCTTGTCCGTAATGTAGCATTTCTGCCATGTGAGATGTTAACATTGGCATTAACAATGTTGTTTTCCTTCCCCTAGTAATGACCATCAACTACATTCCTTTAAATTATTCATTTAACTAGAACAAGAAAATTGCTGGACATTAACTCCAAATACGAAACAAACTGATTCATTTACCTCCTGAGTCCCAAAACAGGTTACTATGTATATTATATTCTTTGTTTTTTGTTCTTTTTGTATATTATATTCTTAACATCTGTGGCTATCATTAGCCATTTACAGGTTTGCACACAGTGAAAGTGGTTTGTAGCTAATGCTAATCGCTTTTAGCATTTGCTAAATGCTATGTAGTCTAAAGATATGATATACAGTAGGTGTAAAATATAGATAAATGTAGCTTCGTTATTTTAATTGAACTGCAAAATGTCCATAATGGGCCATATGCTTAAAAAAATTAATGTATATATATGTATATGCATAAAAAGCATTAGCAATTAGCATTGACTTACAAAATCATTGATCCTAAAGTTTCATTTGTTAAAATTACTGCACAATTATATCTATTGTCAAAATGAGAATGTGCACTGTAGGCTAATTTGAGTTTTTAATATTCTGCAATGTGATCATGTTGCACTTTTTAATACTTTTAGAAGCAATTCTGGCTCTTTTGTAGATTGCAGATATCACAAGAGGAGAAGCTGCTCCAAAAGCCAGCAGAAATCCAGAGCATCCAGTCCTAAATTATAGACGTGCACATAGTGTAATTCTTATCCGCATCTTAAATGGATCAAAATCTTTTTTAAAAAAAGCTGTGAAATTACAGAATGAAGCTGCACTGTTCAGTGTCATTGTAACTAAATCCTGTCACCAAAGGCCTGATTGACAAATTTGCGTTCCATTCAAGATACAAAAAAATGGAGTGGATTATATAATCAGGGAAGTATAGATACGTCTCTGTGCAAATGAGTGATTTGAGCATTTGGCCCTACAGCCCCAGGCGAATCTAAGAGTGCAGCCTGTGACTCACAGCCAGCCTGTCCTCCACGACGGTTAATGAGCCGTCACGTCTTTCACTCTCCTGCCTTTTTCCAACCGCGTCCTCATCCTCCTCTTTATCAGAAAAGCCATCCAGCTACTGCGTCTCTCCCCTCCCGTCCTTCACTGGTTGGAAATGTGGAGAAATGGAGCTGAGAACCGCAAAGAGGAGGGGGTTTTTGTTGGGTATTAGCCGCTAACGCTCTTTTATTTTTACCATGTGCTGTAAGGGATGAAGGGGGGTAAAAAAAGAAAAAAGAAAGACAAGATATGACATCCCTCCTCTTGCCTCCCCCCCCGCAGTGGGAGGACTCTAAAGGAGGGATTTGGAACAAAGCAGGCGAGATGTGTCAGAGGACTTGAGTTAGGCCCCGAAAGCCACTCTGATGGAAAACACAGTGGTAATGTAATACCAACAGGTTTATGGATAAACCCTCTGATGCACTTAGACCTATCAAAAGATGTACTCAGTGGGCTTGTGGAGCCTTCATACATCACACAGATGCACTTAGGGGCGATTATTTTCCAGAGGTCCATCTGTCTTGGAGCGTGTTTGCTCCCGGCTTATTTAGCGTTTGTTTAAAGTCACCGGGCCTGTCTCTTAGAGGCAAACGCTGACTTATTCATATTTTCACGTTATGTGTATTTTTTATGGCGGGGATGTGCTTCGGACAAAACAACACGACAGAAACTAGAGCAGCTCCTCCTTTCAGTGTTGTTAGGAGTCATAATATGATTTAGGCGGTGGGTCCATCCATCAGCTTCAGCCTGTTTATGAGAGCATGCAGAGACGGGTCGAATCTCCACTTCTGCTCAGCTTTTTCTGCACCTACGAGACGAATGATGAATTATTTTGCACCTGGGTTGTGTTCTCTCGTTCGAGCCTATAGGGGGATACATTTCTGATCATCTCTGACCGGCGAGACACAAGCAGAGGCCAGGATCATGGAGGCGTCTTATGCAAACACATTTAACAGTCCACTGGTGTCTTTTTGAACCAACTGAACCAACTTCAGCTCCTCCGACCAAAAGAAGAGTGAAAAAACTACAAATGGGAAGCCACAGAGATGAGAAACATCCTGTGAGCTTTGAATCCTGTTTCCTGAGTCAGATCCATCAGATGAAAAAGAGGACGCATTCATTTTCATTTCAAAAGAAAACATCCGGTTACATCACAATACCAGAGAGTAAATTAAGGAATCATGTCAAAAGATACAGACACGTCCTGATTAAAACCAATTCAAACTTGGACTTTAAGGCTTTGGGCCTTTTGTGAGGTGCAGCATTGTTTAAAATTTTATCTAAAGACCATAAAATTCCACATTGACCTGTCAAAGAAGCCATGCGTGGAAAAAAACGATGCGCCGCTGCATCTATTTTTCCAGCATTTATCATTTTGAAAGCGAACAGACTCCGAACTCTGAGTTCAAGTCTCTCGTTCTCCTACAGTAATGCAGCGATACATCTTCAGCCCAGCAGACCAAAAGGGGGTGTCGAATGCAGTGAGTTTCAGGTGCACCGCTGGAAGCAAATCTGTTTAATACCTTAAAGTTTCCCCCCTCCCCTCCTCGTACATTCCTTCCTTCGTGTACGTTTCCCCTCGGTATCCTGTGAGTAATGTATGTTTGCTCTAATTGGAGGCTGGACACAGAAGTCAGGCAGCGTCGGCCTCTGGCTAGCTTTAATGATTTTTTTGTTGTTGTCTTAACTTTAACTCCTTAACTCGCAGCATATTCCTCCCCGCTGGCCCCCAGCGCTCATCAGACTCTGGCAGGGAACGTAATTGGCCATCAAAACAATCCAGACTCCTTCCTTCATTCCCGGCTAGCTTGACCTTAAGTCACGGAGCGGGACTCTGATTCAGCCTGTTGACTCATTAAAGATCGCATTCGGCCTTCCAGTGCATTTTTAAAATCCTGTCTTTTCGTAAGAATTCAAGTAATGATTTCAGAAAGATGGGCTTACAGGGGGTGTGGTGGTTAGCACCATCGCTATACAGCGAGAAGGTTCCGGGTTCAATATTCTTTCTCACTCTCAACCCTTTCCTCCATTTCACCCTAAATGAGGCTAAAAAATTAACTCCCATGACCACCAAAAGGAGTTTGGAGCGTTTCTATCTTATTTGTGTTAACACAAAACTGAACTTTTTTAAACAGGGTTTTAAATGTGGTATGAAAAAGATTTTTAAAAATGGAATAAATAAAGACAATGGGGCGGCAGGGTGGTGTGGTGGTCAGCACCATAACCTCAGAGCGATAGGTGCTGGGTTCGAGTCCCAGGGACAACCAGGACCTTTCTGGGTGGAGTTTGTTGTCTCCAGGTCCTCCCACAGTCCAAAACCTGCATGTTAGCTTGATTGGACATTCCAAATTGTCCTTAGGAGTGAGTGTGCGTGGTTGTTGGTCCTTGTGTGTCTCTGTGTGGCCTTGTGATGGACTGGTAACCGTCCAGGGTGACCCTGCCTCTTGCCCATTGACTACTGCGATAGGCTTCCCATTTGGGAATATGCGGCTACGATAATGGATGGATGGGATTACAGTGATCAGATGTTTGTGTCCAGTGCTCCAATATGATGCTGACAGCTGGAGGAAACTGGACTTCTAAAAACGGGAAAATCTCAGGATTCCTGTTTAGCTTCTGAAGCGCGTAGAAGGGAGAGGCTCCCGGGGATTTATCGGCCTCAGCATCAACCAGAAGGCCAGAGATGATGTGTGTCTGTGGGGGCTGGTAATGCGCGAATCGATGCTCTGCTTATTCTCACCTTGAGTCGCTCGTCCGAAAACAACCTTGAGTGCCGCGTCTCAAAGTGAGGACGGGCTATTTTGGTCACTCTGATTTCCTTTGAAAGGACGCCGTGTGTTTAATGACTCTGAGTCAAGCCCAGGAGGATTTATAAGTGTCCCAAAGGGTGAGACAGTTGATTTTCCTTTTATTTTTTTACTTATTTGTTATTAAATGTTTTCTCCTCCCTACAAAAAAACAAAAAAACAAACTTTGCTGTCAGGTACATCCCCCCGGTTCAGATCATGTTCACCCAAAACAAAACCTACTAAAAATACAGCCACTCAAATTAGGTTAGTGGAAACACTATTTCTGAGACGGCTTCCAGGAATTTATCTTCCAGCCAGAAAAAATTAGATCTTTAACAAACAGAGACGCTATTTAATTAAAGGGACGGCATGTTGTTTTTCTTATCTTAACTAAGTGGTTCTTGAATTTCTTACTTCTAACAAAACTTGCTGTCACTTTTAGGCATTTTGTTTCTTTTTGGACCAAAAGGGCAGTGTAGGATAATAAAGACCAAGCAAAAGAAACATGAACTGAAACGAGGTGAAGGATCATGAAGGTGTGTGTTGGCTTGGTTCAAAGTTCAACGCCAGTTATTGGAAAGCCGGTTTTGCTTCGGCCGCTTCGGTTTGACTGATGAAATGAGTCGAATCGGCAACTTTTTCAAAATGTTTTCGATTTGGGAGGAAAATCCAACCAATCACAGCTGAGAGAAAATGAAAAACGACTTCAATAGACACAAAAACTAAAGTTTATCGTGAATATCTCTATGACTTTTATTACAAACGAGTTCACCCACTTTTCTAATCTTTTGGATTCACTGTTTTGATGCTGTAATCTGTGACTTTGCGCTTCCTTTGATGTGTTTACTGGTGGAAATGGTTCCATGTCTCTGATTTTCCTCTTCCTTTCTCCTCTCTGTATCATTCCTGCAGGGCCGCCTGTAAACGTAACCTGCAACATTTTTATCAACAGTTTTGGGTCCATCGCTGAAACAACAATGGTAAGTTTGATCATTCTCACAGTTCGGCCCAAAGTAGAGATTTTCTGCTGTTTCCGTTTGTTACTGGTTAGGCTCCGAGGTCTTTAGACTGAAAACAACTGCAGTCAGAGTCAAAAGGTCCTGAGTGACGACAGATTAAGGGCATGAATGTCCTTGAATAAGAACAAAATATGAGACAAGCTCCGATATTACCCTAAAATGCAATGTAGAGGACAAAAAAAGCTGATTAAATGTTTCTTATATGCATTTACTTCACACCTTTTTGTCCTCTCAGGCCTGTTTTGGATGCTTCTAAAGCAAAAAGAGTATAAATTGATCATAAAGTCTTTCAGTTTCACTCTTTTTAGTGAAGTGACATTTTGATCTTAAAATCAATAGAATTAGATTTCACTGACTGATTCAAATCGATGTGTTTGTGTAAATGGAACTTTGAGACTTTTAGCAGATGTTTGAAGCAGATATTTCATGGAAAACTCTGGTTTATAGTTTAGATTGAATTCATTATAACTGCATTCGAATAACTAAAGCCTCTTAGATTTTGGCTTAGATTTGAGATTTTTATGGCGGTTTGGGGTCTTGAACTTTCTCTGAACACTCCTGGCTGTGTTAATATCTCCACCTTCTTGTTTTTTTCTTTCTATCATTGTTCTTACATCACTGCATGACACAGTAAGTTTGTAGTTACAGTCTCAAATTTAACTTTTACACCATTGAAAGGTCAAAGGAGGCTAATATTAGCTTTAGCCAAGAGTCGGAACACAATGTGGTCTGAGGTGAAAATGAAGTACTGTATCTCAAAGGCATTGTTTTCCTTAGAAATCCTTTAAAATCAACACTTTTTCCTCAGCACCTGTAAAGTCTCATTGGTGAAAAATCATTTGAATGCCCCCAATCATTTTGGGGAAAAGGTTCAAGTGAAAGAAAGCAGGAGTCACACAGGCAGTTGAAACTGTTTCAACCATCTGTAACTTGTTCAGACAGTTATAAGGAGGAGATATTTTTCTAATCCTGCAGAAAGACACAAAATAATCCCCCCAAAAATTCCTTTGACCCGGCAGAATGTGTCTCCATCCAATAATAGTATGCTGGAGTCCTCAGCCACCAGGAAGGAGAAGCCAAATCACATAAAACTCAAGAGAAAGGAGTATTGACACAGGATAAACACAGCCTGACCTTGCGGCTGTGGTTTGTGTGCAGTCCTTATCAACAGCGAGGAAGAATGAATGACTTTGTTAAAGACAGGAAGCGTCCAGTGGTGCTTCTAAATGTTTGGTAAAACGACTGCAAAGCAATCGGGGGTCTGGGGGGGGGGGGTTGGAAATTCCCTGGCGGTGGAGCGTGTGGCTGGCTGGCCCTCGCATTCAGCCCCGGAAAAACACAATTAGTGGAAATGATTTCTGTGCTGATATTTATGCAAATTTGCCTCCATTTTTTTTTTTATTTTTTTTTTTAACTCGATTAAAAAAGGAGAGAGTAGTCTTCTGAAACGACTCTGCCTCATTGGGCCCCGGCGTCCATTTGCATCTCTGCGGCGCTGGTGTGGAAATTTACACTCGTTCATTACACAGAAAAGCCATTAGCATGCGATAGAACGAAACCGCCAGCCCTGGCGGAGCAACACGGCCCGGGGCAGATGGGGCCGTGCTCAACCTTCGCATGCGTGCGTCTGACAGTGGCAAACACCGGGGCGTCGACCAGCTCCGGAAGTGTCCCCAAAAACGAGACTTTTCCCCTTTTAGCTTCAAAAGTCCCCAAAAACGAGACTTTTCCCCTTTTAGCTGCAAAAATAGGCTGTAAATTCTCCCCCAGAGGAGTTCAGAGGTGTGAACCATTTGCAGGTCACAACGTCACACTGTCCCAATGCACAAAATCTAATGAAAGGTTAAAGTTAGGGGGGGTAGCACGGTGATGTGGTGGTTAGCACCATCGCCTCACAGCCAGAAGGTCCTGGGTTCAAATCCCAGGGGAACCCTTAGGTGTGACTGTGGGTGGTTGTTTGTCCTTGTGTGGCCCTAAAATGGACTGGGGGGCCGTCCAGGGTGTACCCCGCATATCATCTTGCCCATAGGTTCCAGTCCCCCCCCCCCCCCCCCCCGGCAGGAGTCCATATGTTATATTTCACAGCTCCTCTTCACTCTCCGTTCATTTGTATCGTTAAATTCACCCTAAATAATACCCTAATAATAATAGTAAAAAATGTTGACCGACATAATTCGTGCTCGCTCTCATTAACACTCAGCTCTCGAGCAGCAGATGTTTTGCACTGTGTGTCTCTTCCTGTGACTTTGGCATCACAGCCACAAGCCCAGCGCCAAAAACAGGGTCTGTCCCAAAAATCAGCTCGCTGTCCGGAAAATGCCCTCGTTCCCGAGGCGATTCGCCCAAACGGGCGCTCTGGAAGACAGACGCAGGCCGGTGATGGATGGGGGGGGTGCAGAGCGGTGCACGGCTTCATTCCACTTTCAGAGCGCACACACACAAAGAAAGAGGCAAAACGACGCCTTTGCTCGTCCTGACCCCCCCCCCCCCCCCATGAGTTGATTGAACTAAACATAAAGGCCGATAGGAAATAGTGGAAAAGTCAAACTCGTCCAAAAATTAAGACTCAAAACTGGCAGCGATTCTTTAAAATGTTGTTTTTGGCTGCTAATTTTGATGATAACAATTCTCCATGTGCAGTGTGTGTGTAAAGAGGTTGAGCCAAACAGTTTTTTCAAGAAACTAAAGAAAAAAAAGGGATGTCTGGACACCCCAGCATTAGGACGGCGGCCATCTTGAAAGCCGCCATATTGGATCAGGGACGAGTTTCTCCGATGGGAAAGTGGCCATGTAGCGTATCAAACCAGAGGCGAATTGTCTCAAAAGCTGATTGCTGCTATCAGATTTAAAAGATCTCTTTTGGTTTCAGTGCTATCAAACAGAAAGTTGCCGAAGCAGCTGAAAACTTGGCAGCCGCTTGAGATGTTCAGTCGATGGTGCTGAACGCAGATCCAGTCGTTATTGGATTCTCATGCAGGTTCATTACAATTGGATCAGCTCTGTGACAGCTAGGATGGGTTACCATAAATAAACCTCACAGCAAATGGATGGATGGATTATTTTCCCCTTTGCAAAGCACCTTTGGTCCTCTCAGGTCTGATTGGCTGCTTATAAGGCGAAAAGTATAAAATGATGACCACAATTTTTCGGTTCAACGATTTTACAGAAACTGCTCCCAACACAATAACTTAGATTTTACACTTATCTCTGTAATATCTGGTGTAACAGACCTCTTTACTGAAAACTACAGCTCATTTTTGTATAAAAATAGATAGATAAAAAAGCAGAAAATCTGAATAATTCTCTCTCCTGTTAGAGAGGTAGATGGGACATAAAATAATTATTAATCATATTGTGATTAATAATAATCACTGTGATATATTAATTATATCACAGGTCTTTGAAAAGATTAACTAATCAAATTATAAATGAATAATTTCCTTTATGATGATTGGTGTTACGCTAATAGTGTCAAACATCACGCAAAATGCTGTAGATGTGCATAGAAGACACACAAAAGGCTTCCAAAGAGAAGAAAAAAACTTATAGCGGCATATTCTAATAAAAGGAGGACATAAAGAACGAGGGAGCTGCACTGACGTGGTCTTTGCAGTCGTCAGAGAAAAAAAAGAAGAATGAGAGTGCATGTGCTCCGTCTTTAGGCCACGCTCGGGTTAGTTTCAAGGCCCAGCTGGGATTTATTCCTCTTCTGGGAACAGCGACAACATGTGTGTGTGTGACGGCTGAGAATGTAATCATCCTTATTTTTGAGCAGCTCCATCAAGCCGTTTTTTCCCAGCCTTTTCCCCTTTCCGAGCCCCTACCCCCCCCCCCCCCCCCCCCCCCCTGCCCCCCCTCTTCCCCCCCCCCCCCCAGACTCCTCACATCTGCACCCTTTCAGGTTATTCATCACAAAATCTCAGGCATGGGGAAAGGTGGCCCATTCAGAAAAGGCCAGGCTCATTTGTTTCATGTGAGATATTTACAGTAATAAACAGCGATAAACAGAAGGGTGGGTGGGGATGGGGGTGGGGGGGGTAGGGGGGGTCGGGCACACACTTACCGATCGCTCCTTTAAATGCCACCTGCTGAGGCTGCTGGCATGGCTGCTGTCAGCCCGGCTTTTTCTGCTACGCCACACAGCCTAACGACGGCCTCAGCACAGCTCCATGTTGGGAGAATAATGGACAATTAGGGAGATGGAGGGCCCAGCTAAATGCCAGCGCCTCACTAAAGAGACTCCGCCCCCCCCCCCCCCCCGCATCCTGGCAGTGGATGCTGGGGAACCGGGAAGGCTGCAGCTGGATCCATCCGTTTGTGGGTTCTGGGCTTTGTACGCCTCGAGTTTGTCGTGTTTTGTTTATTTAGGCCGTGTATCTTGACTTGGGTTAGCGGTTTTTAGCTGTTTTTCCTTGTTATCAGCATTTGCATCCTGGTTGTCAGGGCCTCCTTTCATCCAGTAATCAGCCCCTCTTGTGTCTAACCTGTCATCAATGTGTCCTGGCTCCTGATTTGTTGTTCTCATAATGATTTGTTTTTTAATCTTAACAAGCAAAAATGAAGTAAAAATGACCTCACATTTATTACATTAGTAATGAATGTAATAATCATTACATTTCAGACATATTCCAAATTTCAGACTAAGACGATTAGAAGAAAAGTCTTTTTTTTTTTAACCCGGCCCGTCACCAGGGGCAGTTTTTTAATTAAATGTCCCTGTTAACAGTCTGAACTTTTCTCCATTTTTTTTATTTTATTTTATTTATTTATTTATTTGAATAGGGACAAAGCACATTAATGAACATCAGTCAAAAACAAATGTAAATATGCCGGATTATAGCTACAAAGCTAGTTTTCATCCGTAGTCCCTAGGCATGCAAATTCATAAAAAAGAACATATAATAAGCAATATAAGCATCACAAGTAAATGTTTAGATTTTAGTAGTCACATGACTGGTTTGCTTTCATCCAAAATTTTAGTTGAGCTCTAAAGCTGATCATTCTATGCTCCTTGATTGTATCTTTTGAAAGTGGGTGGTCTTAATATAAAGGCCATGATTGGTTGACACGCCCCCACCAGGAGCCAATAGGGATCATGGTCCAATTCTGTCTGTGATCCAGGTGTGAGAGTGTGTGAGTGTCAAGGCATCAACCTTCCCAGCTCTATTATTATCGCCACATCATTATTATTCTACCCATATTTGACCTATAACCCAGGAGGGTCCAGCCGTCCTGCAGGTTTTTGGTCATTTTCCTGCTTTTGCACACCCGACTGACCAAATGGGAACTCTTCCACACGCTGTTAAGCTCTGCTCAGCCCATTGATGTGAATACGGTGTGTTGATTCCAGCAGACCTCTAAAAGAGGAGAGTTTTGGCCGCCGTCCTGCAGGTTTTTTAAGTTTCCCTGCTTCTGCACACCCGATTCACACCAACACAACATCAGCCGTCCCGTTCAGAGCTCAACGTGAGGTCATTATTTATCTGAATCGGGTGTGCAGAAGCAGGGGAACCACCAAAACCAGCAACCCAAAGAGGAGCATTTGGAGTTTGGAGGTTCTGGGGCTCATTTTACCTCCAGAGACCAGGTCAGTGTTACCTGACCTCTTCTTTTCCTTGTTAGCATTGACACATTTGAAGCTGATTGTGATTATATTTGGTTCCATCCACCTAACCAACAGTCTATTCAATGAAAAAAACAGGTTTAGGCCACTTTTTGTGTAACTTTGGGCGATCTAAACACGTAAAATGAACGTTCACATTAGTATTTTACCTCCAGGCTCACAGATGGGATCACTTCCTGTTCAAAAAGGGTTCCTCGTGTGTGTGTGTGTGTTAGGGGCTCCCGTCCAGTCAGTGTTTTCCTGTCGGAGTCAGCACGCAGAAGCAGGGATGATGGACAGGATAAGCTGAGGCCATCGGAAACATCCATCCATCCTTTTGCCACACCGGCTTATTCCAATTAGGCTCGCTGGTTTTTTCCAGCCTCGAAAACAACCCTCAGAAATGTGCAACTCAGCTCGAGTGTTTTGCTTCTTTATTGCACCAGAAGACACCCATTTTTTCATAAAACAGAAAAAAAGGACGAGAAGGAGCCCTTTGTTGAGAATTTGTTTTGGGTTTAACCAGGATTTGTTTAGGACTAATTAATTCGGGATATTATAATTTAATATCGGGTAACTATTTTAGTTACGGTTAGTTCATAAATCTAGTTAGCATTTTATAGTTAGTATCTGGTTCAAAACTGACTATTTGTGGTTCTTTAACAGAATGGACTCAATATCCCATGATGCTTTGCACAAGGTCAGGAGGAACTGGAGGTGAGACGAAGAGGTAGAATTGAGGAGTTTAACGAGAAAAAGAGCTACGTTAGCCGAGCATCCACACTCTGTCGTGTATTGTAATATACGATTCGTTCATCCCTTTTCTTTAAATTTTCACTAAAGTTCAGTAGAATTATCCATCCGACTCCTTTTCGTCTTTGAATCAGTCGAATATACGACACCCTTTGCTCGTTGATAAGTTATCAACAGCGACCGGGAAGCTGGTTAGCATCTCCGAGGCTGTGAGTTTGACACGTTTTTACGATTAAAACTTTATCAGTCGCCCATCTACCGACTCTATCTGGCCGTGAAGCCTCTGTTTGTGTCGCTGCCTGTTTTACTGGAGAAAAACAGACAACTCACCCCCCCTTCTTCCTGCCGTCGTCCGATGGGCAAACAACAACAACTCTGGATGGAAGCGGTGGGGCTTGAGGCTGCGGGTCGCCACGATCGGCGAGATGTTTTGAGCTGGCGTAAAGAATAAAATGACATGAGGATGAAGACCCATAACCAGCCGCTCATCCAGCCGTGAGAGCCCGTCCATCACCGGCCAGAATCTGTCCATCTGCCCGTCTGCGGGGAGCTACAGCGTGTCCAGTCAGCCGGGCGCTGACCCACGACGGGCCTGTTTTTTTTCCCGTTTCCTTCCCCACATCTCTGCTTTCCCCGTCTAAAAACACACTCTGTGGACGCCTCTTGCCTCCGCCTTTTCAGGGATTTTCTCATGGCAATATAGAGATTCGTTTAAAAATTGTGAAATTAATCTTTCAAACACTTAATTAAACTCTATACATATTATTATGTTAAAATAGTGTAATGTTAAATAGGTTTGTGCAATAAGTCCAAACAAGTTTAACCAAAAAATATTTATTTCTCACAATTATGAAGGGTGGAGGGTTAGGGTTAGGGTTAGGGTTTGGGTTAGGGTCAGGGTCAGGGTTAGGGTTAGGGTTAGGGTTATTAATGCAGGCCACTAGTCACGATAACATTAGTAACAGTAAGTCAGTTTGAAATGAAAGACACTAACCAGTCAAAATTCATTTAATTTTTGGGGTCTTTTTTTAATCCTTGTGGTATCGAAAATGGTATAGAGTATCGAGTATTTTCCTGAGTATCGGTATCGAGTTGAACATTTTAGTATCGTGACAACCCTAACGGGGTCGGATTTTTCTGCCCAACGCAGAAATTCGAAACCCTGGAACCTCCAGATAAACGGCCTCTTTATGGCTTCATATCGAACTCACCTGACTGTTTTTACAGCTTGCAGCTTTGACATTTGAACACACTTAGGCAGATTCCCATTAGGAAGTCCCGCTCTTAAATGTCTGGTTTTCCAACACCAGGCAAAACTTTGTGAGTAATTATTTTTAATTAGTTTTGAAGGAAAAGAACGGACCCTCCATCCAGAAACAAAAAGTCATCATGTGTTAGGCGGAGGTTGTATTCTAAGTGAGGCAATTATGTGGGCCTAATTAAACTATTTGTTTTTAATGCCTAAAAAACGTTAATGGGAAAGGTCAGTGTATTTGTTCTTCAGTAGCACTTTTCTCTTCATCTCACTTTATTTTTGATAACTTTTAACCACTTATAACATTCATTAATTGATTCAAAACCAACTGATCAGATTTTTATGAAATGCACAGAATCGTTTTCGTGTCCTTTCAGCCACTCAGTTCCATTTAAAATGGATTTTTGAGGGAAAGTATTTGTTCAAAGTTAATTGTAGGATATAGATGCATGGAACTGAATAAACAGGGTTTATTTTTGTCTCTTTTTTTAAATTACAAACTGTTCTTTTTAATAGTGTCTGAGTTGGATAAATCCATGTTGGGTTTCTGTGCTTGTCGATACTAGAACAAACACTTCAGATTCAGATTGTTTTGTCTTTTTTCTGCCACACACTGAAGTATAATTTCTCTTATTTACAGAAGTAGAGGTAATTTTGGATCAAATGACTCCTCAGTTCTGAGTAAAAAAATAAAAAATCCTATAGATTTTTTGCAGTGAAAGTCAAAACCATTGAAGGTACACGAGAATCCATTTGTGTTCTGAAAGCCATTCATAAGACAATAAACCTATGAGGAACGCTGACATTTATCTGATCTATAAAGGACGCAGAGCGACACAATTCCTGACAATGACGGGAATTCTGTGAAAGTTCAGCTTCAAAATGAGGAGAGAAAAAAGGATTTTGGCTCAGAAAGAAGCCACAGAGCTCACAGGGGTTCAGTCTGGACGTCTGGGATCTCAAAGTGTCCATTTTAGGACCAGAGCTTTATTAAAAGCATCCAGAATTGAACAGATGTGCTGTTATTTAGTGATAAGGGGTGGACTTTGGTTGGCTAGCGTAAAAGTATTCAGCCTCGTAGAGAAACTCTGGTCATATTTCTCCGCTTGTCATAAGGCTGGATGGGCAAAGTGGAGGTAAACACACAACCAAAGCAAAAGGAAAGTCCTCACCGATGGTCAGACTGGAGAAGAACTGGCAATACTCAGGCTTCAGCCTCATCTCCGGGCTGGTCGCACAAACCTTTTCGTCCCTTTCCTGCATTGTCGTCCAAATGCTGTATGCAGTTGTTTCTGTGTTTGCAAACACAATTCATGTAGTAATGAAAGTTTGATAAATGCCTACAAGCCTGCAGCAGATCCGGCTCTCAGCAGAAGCACGGCCCTCGTTTAAAAAATCACAGATGACGTTGGACTGAACATACTAAATATAGTTTTCTACGTTCTATTTCGGTGGAACATCTACCCAAGAGACACATGTGCCTTTAAGTCATGTTTTAAAAGCTTAATAGGAATGTGAGCATGTGCATTATAGGAGGCTCAGAGGGTCTGTTTGCATTATTTGGGCACTATTATTCCAACGTATCTTAGAGAGAGTTGATTTTTAGTTTTTTTTAGCTAAAACACAAGGACAGCTATATTTTCAGCGGTCCTTCATTTTCAGCCCAGATGCCCCCCGGCTCTCCTGTAGACCCCCCCAACACTTCCCTCTGCTTGTGCTCCCGCTTGTAGGACTACAGAGTGAACATCTTCCTGCGGCAGCAGTGGAACGACCCCCGGCTGGCCTACAGCGAGTACCCCGACGACTCCCTGGACCTGGACCCCTCCATGTTGGACTCCATCTGGAAGCCCGACTTGTTCTTCGCCAACGAGAAGGGGGCCAACTTCCACGAGGTCACCACGGACAACAAGCTGCTGCGCATCTCCAAAAACGGCAACGTGCTGTACAGCATACGGTGAGCGGGGGGGGGGGGGGACCTGGTCGTTAAACTGATTACTGCGGCATGGGTGGTGGATCTTAAAGGTGTCACTTCATTTGGTTTGTGACTCTTGGACAGGAGCTTTTTAGTGAAGTGATAATATTTGAGTCCTTTGTTTTATGGGTGGAGTCAGAGACTATAGCCAGCTTTATGTGGTCTTGAATTTTGACAATACAGGAGCACAGCCAGCTTTAATGGGGGCCTTTATTTCATGCATTAAGTTATCGAACGGACTGAAAACCATAAACGCCCCCGCAGGCCTCAGCCAGCGTTTTCTTCTTGTTAAGTTTGAAGTTTTTTATGGGAAATAAATTCACACACTTTTGAGTTTTTATTGAACCAATCCAAAGGGTGAGTCAAGATTCAGAGGATTCTGTTTTTATCTCTGGAACAAAAGGGACAATGACATGTAATGGGTGATAAATCTTTCAGGCTATGTCCAGATCATGGCGGCCATTTTGAAAGCCGCCATATTGGATCAAGGACAAGTTTTTCCAATGGGAAGGTGGTCATGTGACATATCAAAGAAGAGCAGAATTGTCTCAGAAATGTGTTGCCACAATCAGATTTGCAAAATATCTTTTGGTTTAAAAGTTATCGACACAGAAAGCAGCAACAACAACTGTGAGTGTATGCTGTGATACAGCTGTTTGAGGTGATCCATATTAGGCACCACCACACAGAATGAAACTTTTTTGGCCCTTTTGAACATGAAGTGATCCCATCTATTACATTTGATGGAAAAATCAGTGAAAATATTCAAGTTTGGCTATTTATTTAACATATTTGGACACCCAAGACCCTCACAGTAGGATGTGTTCGAATCCCAGCCAGTACTTTTTATGTGGAGTTTTCATGTTTATGTATGGTTTCTCTCTGGGTCCAAAAGCATGCATGCTAGGTTAGAGTCTGGATTTCCTTTGGAGGTGAGTGCATGGTGTGGGGTGTAACAGAAAATGGATGGATTTTATACTGTTTCTCACAAAGACTCTAAACTGGGTCGATTTTCTCTGCATGCGGATTTCACAGAGACTCCGGACGGCGCAGATCTCTGTAGGGCATCCAAATGTAACACGGTTATGTGCTACCTTTAGATTTCTGGTCATGGGTCTCAGAAGTCGTTGGATACGTTTATATTTCCTCTTTTAATCTCAAATATCTGAAAAAAGCAGATAGTCCATTTTACTAATGGGATAAATATGGACCGTGATCGTTTAGAGGGGATTGACTGAAAATGAGTTCTACCTCAGGATTGATGAGGTTCCAGTGAGACGCACTTAACCCGCTGTGACGGGCTCTCAGAGTATTGCACTCCACATACCCTACTTTAGCTCTCTTATTGCATCAAAGTTGTGAGGCTTTATTTCTTTTTTTCCCCTTTAGTATCTCCGAGACATCCTATTGGAGGCTCTCAGAGTTATAGCCTCCTCCGGCCGACAAACCTTTTAGCCTGCCAGCGCTTCCTTCTCCTTGCTTTTATTGCATCTGCTCAGGGGCGGATGAAAAAGGGGAGCAACAGCCTCTGTAATCTGCCGGCCTGTTGGTATTCCGGCCCCGACTCTGATCTGTTATCGGCCTCGGTTTGTACCTTTTCTGTCCAGCAGGACGGGGAGTGAGATTGGCCTTTTATAAAAGCTCCTCCTCTGCTCCTTTCATTTTTTAACTTGACAACATCAGAATGAACCCGCGGTTTATCAGCTCCATCTCAGAGGCGACGAGGCGGCTCGGGATATTAAATTGTCCCTGGGGGGGGAGGGGGTTGGGGGGGGTTGGAGGAGAGAAGGGGCTGTTGTAAATGTTGTTTACCCTGTTCTTTATGTTTATCGCTCAACAGTTGAACTGTGTGAGGAGTTGTGACAGATGGGGGCTTCTCCTCTAGGATCTAAGTGAACTTTGAGATCCGATGATCAGATTCACTGAGCAATCTCCTGCTGCTGCTCAGACACAAGCACGCCGCGCGCCCTGAGCGCATGCGGCGTCCTGTTTGTAAAACAGGACACTTACAGACCGATCGGCCTCATGAACGGTTCGAAGCTGGCCGAAATAGCAAAAGCCTGGCTCCATCTTTTCTCCAGCAAAGGACGCTGCTGATGGGCCACGCTGTGCACGAGCCCGCGCTGTGCACGAGCTCTTTGTCCCGCTCCCGCCGACCGGCCTCGGCCAATCTCACTCACGCTGGGAGAGAATAATGTCCATCCGCAGATTTTTATTGACCTCATTTCCCTCCCTATCAGCGGCCTTCCAGCTTAACTTGTACGAAAACCGATATTCCCCGAGACAAAATCGCCACAGCGGCAGAGAGCACGGTTATTTTTCAGTTTAAATAATTCCCTATTCACCGGCCACCCCTGTCCTCCTTCTGCTGACTCTGCTTCCACGTCCTCCCCGTAGATAACCGACACTCAGTGGACAGCTCATGACCAGTATCTCCGAGCTGGAAATGTGTAGATAGTCCAAAACGTGAACCACTGAGCTTTCTCTGCCATGAAGAAGCCTGGAAGAGGACCCATAACAACTGGGAAGCACAGGGAGCTTCATAAAAAACGTATATTAAGGCCAAAAATACCTGCTGAGAGGGAGAAACACAAATTAATGACAACAATGATGTCCATGGTGCTCTGGAACCAACAGGAAGAGAAGCTGAAACTGGAGGAATCGGATCAAACCTCCGGCTGCAGCTTTTTAGATCAGCTGGAAGCTTTAACAGAGTTTCTGGGTCAGAACAATAATAAAGAACCCCAGCAGAACAATCCTGAAGGAGAACATGATGGAGCCACTACCTGGCTGTGTTAAATCTCTCTGCTAAACCGAGGCCCTTTAGATGAGAGGTGAAGCGTCAACACCACAGAAAAGGTCCAGCTGCCTTCATTCAGACTTTTTAGAAGTATCTGTCACACCATTTTTGAGTTTCTGGTATTTTCAGTGGTCATTCTTTTGAAATCGGGATCCTGTTCTTTATTCTACAGTTCCCCTCAATTCTCTCCTGTTCTGGCCAGAAGCTCCCAGATTTTTTTTCTCTTAAGTTTCAGCTTTATCTTTTGTTTCGTTTCGCTGTGATTCATGTAAGAAGTGGACCTCTATTTCTCATCTGAATCTGGATAATTTATCTGAATAATTCCCACCGAAATGAGAAAACTGAGGTTTTTCTTGCTCCTAAAAGGGAAGCTGGAGAGATGAGTACTTTTGTTTCTATGTACAATCTGTAATGGTGGAAAAGATGGGCCGTCCACCCTAGAATGTAAAAGGACGGTTCCAAAAACAGCTGCATTTAAAAAAGTCCCTCTCTTCGTCAAGCTGCGGGAGGAAAAGAAGCTACGAGACACTGTCAGCAAATCACACAGCGGAACTTGTTTCAGAGAAAGTGGGACATCTGTGTGGGCTGCGTCACGCGCGGGAAACATATTCAGCATCCTGTCAGGGAGCTGTTACGATGTGCCGACGCGGCAAAGTTTCTGTGGTCCATCAGGCTGGCCGGACGCGGGCGTCCTGTTGGAGGAGGGAAAACCAACGCCGGCCCATCGTGACAACCCGCCAACAGCCAGAGCCAGGAGAGGAACATTGTGATCGCAACACCAAGGAGAACTTGTAAAGAACGTCTTTTAGGTTTATTACCCCATAGATGGGCAACAATCGTCCTGATCGCTAGCAATTACAGCGCCAAGCAGTAGGAAACATTAGAGATCAGTCTGCTTTGTTGGGGTTTATTTCAAATTTCTGTCATGGTTGCACAAAAACAGCATTAACAACAGGGTTAAGGCTAGGGGTTAGGGTTAGGGTTAGGGCCAGGCTTAGGGTTATGATAAAATAAATAATGTTTTTAAATGGGCCATCCTGCTATGAGCTGCTTCATCTTGTCCATAGCTCATAAATGATATCGAATCACAATTCAAGTGTATTCAGATTAATTTGGATTTCTAGCCATAATCCTTTCAAACATAACTCTGATCTCATGAATATTTAACAATGTAACTACACAGGGTGAGTCCAAATCCTGAGGACTTTAAAAGAATTACCAACACCAAAAATTGCAACAGCAACGGGGAGCGTTGGCTGGCATGCAGCCTTTTGAAGCATTCAGCACCAGGGACAGCTCCTTAAAGATGTCCAACAGCAACTCTCTGTGTTTATATACATATTTTGAACCATAAGAAATGTTGCAAATCTGACAGTAGCAATTGAATTCCGAGGCAATTCTGCTCCTCTTTGATATGCTATATGACCACCCACCCATTGGAAAAACCTGACCTTGATCCAATATGGCGGCTTTCGAGCTAGCCGCCATGTTCCAGACATAGCCTAAAAGACGCATTACTTGCTGGGGTATTCAAATAGTAATTTCCCCTGTCACAGCTCTTGTTTGATCAACGGATGAGAAGATATAACTAATTTTAAAAAATGTATTTAGTTTAAAATTGAGTGATTGTTTATGCTTAGATTTGGTGGTTTTGCGCTGTAAACCCAGGAGGACTGGAAACGATCCTCATGGTGTCAGTAATGCTAAGCTTGTGTGTTTCCACATGTTTTCAGAATAACACTGATCTTGGCTTGTCCTATGGATCTGAAAAACTTCCCAATGGACGTCCAGACCTGCATCATGCAGCTGGAGAGCTGTGAGTATTCATCCATACGTCAACACACATGCTAGCACACGACGCACAAACTGAGGGATGCATCAGTCGCACACAGCAGCTGCCATGTCCAGCTCTGGTACACATCTCTCTGGGGCCTTT